TGGCCATACTATTAAGAGGGGCAAACTTGTTTCCATATCAGTCATATAGTGCCACTTGAGCGATCTAACTTTGCATACGTGTTAGGATCGAGTGGCATGGTGATTTGAGTGACTAATCCTTTGAAAATGTTTGTGAAAATGCTAACACACTTACACTTGGTGGTGTTGGCACATTTGCAAAGGAGTTGAAGTTGGTGAAGAAAAGGAGTTGATCGTGCTGGTCATAGGGTGACCGGACGCGTCCGACACTGAGACCGGACACATCCGGTGTGCCAGACTCGGGCAGGTGACATAGACATGACTAGACACGTTCAGAATTGCAACCGAACGCGTCTGGTATTTAGCATTGTCGTAATCAGCTAAGGCGTGTGACCGGACTTAGGTTCGAGAAGGTGACCGGACGCAAGCAGAACACTGTTCATGCATCAGGTTATGGTGATGTGGCCCGCGTGAGTTGATCTAGAGTGGATCGGACGCAGGGGAGCCAGACGCGTTCGGTCATCAAAGTTGCTCTCCGAACCCTTACTGGAGTCGACCAGACTCTGGCTGGCCTAGCATCAGGTCGCATAGTGGTGTGTTCGGTCTCGGTGCTGAGCAAGGTGGCACGCAGGCGATCGGACTCCACATGGGTGCGTCCGATCATGGGCCTGTGCGTCCGATCAAGTTCGTGTTTAGCGTGTGAGCAAGTTAGCCATTGGCGGTAACGGCTATTTCAAATGGCTAGTGCCACATGGAGGCGGTATAGCGACCGGACGCTATGATCGGATGCGTCCAGTCACCCTATCGGACGCGTCCAGTCAGTGTGCAGGGAGCACAGTGAGGGGGTAACGGCTCTATTTATTCGTGGGGTTATAAATAAGAACCTTAGCCAGCCTTAGGCTGGTTGCTGAGCACCCTTGAGCCTTAGTGGCTTGTGTAGGTGTGCTTGGAAGCGCTCTATCTCATATATGCTTGATGATAGTGTTCATCTGATTGTGTGAGAGCGATTCTAGTACGATTGCATCATGAGGTTGCATCGAGTGGCACTAGGTGATCGTGTTGCAAGCCAGTGGTGCTTGTTACTCTTGGAGGTTGCCACCTCCTAGATGGCTTGGTGGTGGTCTCCGTCGAAGCACGCAAAGAAGATTGTGCGGTGCTCCAGAGAAGTGATTGTGAGGGGGATTGTGCTCACCCCACGGGAGCCATGAAGAGCAACACTAGTAGAGCATGTCATTGATCTTGTAATTATTTTCATATACATTGTGCTTTGTGTAGTTGCTCTTGTAATTAGTTAGCTTGTGTAGCTTGCTAGTTACCATCTTGCTTGTGTAACATAGAAGTAGCTCCCTTACGTGGCTAATTTGGTTTTAGTAACCTTGTTAGTCACATTGCTTAGTTTGTGTAGCTAAGTGTTTTGTGCTCTCTAATTTAGCTTATGTAGCCTTGTTATTGAGCATTGATAGTGAGCTTAGGAGCTTCGTGCTTTTTGCGTCACTAGTTATGTAGGAGCTCCTCCTGTTGCTTGAGTACTAGTGCATAGGTTTGTGTGACCTTGCTTTAGAATTGATTAGGTGAGCTCTAACTAGCCTACCACCTTTGTTGCCTAATTAGGATTCTTATAAGGTGCTAGTGAACTTAGATATAGGGGTGTAGTCTTGGCTAAACCGATAGTTTTAATTCCGCATTTATCTCGGTTAGCCGATGCGATTAATTTTAGAAAGGACTATTCACCCCCCTCTAGTCCGCCATTTTGACCCTACAACAGTCTCCGTTGACACTCTGGTATATCAAAAGAACAATGAATTGAAGATTATTTAACATGTGTCCTAAATTTTGATGGGGATTATTAGATTTAATGTGGGCCAGGCCTATATATTATCTAATTAAATCAAATTAATTCTAAGGCCCATATTAAATAATGTGCGCAATGTTATTTAGTCCCATACGGAATTCTGACTGAATGTTGACTCAACTTAAATGTGCGGACTGTGTCTGTCCACATTGAGAAGGTTAAGAAAGGGTGAGGCGAGCCACACACGCGCGTGCCACTACCGGTCCTGACGCGACACGGTGCGGGACATGAAAGGTTTTGCCACTCAAATCAATTATGGGCAGGAGTTATGGAAGTTTCTGCTCGTGATGACGAGAGTTTCTGCCCCTAATAAGGAAAGTAATGAGAAATAAGGAAAATAATGAGAAGAGTGACAGGAGTTTCTTTCGCCCTAATGAGGAAAGTTATGAGGGCTGCTCGTGATGACAGGAGTTTCTACCGCTAATAAGGAAAATAATGAGAAGAGTGACGGGAGTTTTAGGAGTTTCTGCCTCTAATGAGGAAAGTTATGAGGGGAGTTACGGGAGTGATGATGAGAGTTTCTACCCCTAATAAGGAAAATAATGAGAAGAGTGACGCGAGTTTTAGGAGTTTCTACCCCTAATGAGGAAAGTTATGAGAAGAGTGACGGGAGTTTCAGGAGTTTTTGCCCCTAATGAGGAAAGTTATGAGGGGAGTTATGAGAGTGATAACGGGAGTTTCTGCCCCCTAATAAAGAAAATAATGAGAAGGGGAGTTTTAGGAGTTTCTACCCCTAATGAGGAAAGTTATGAGGGGAGTTACGGGAGTTTACCATAACTGTGTCTCCTCTCCTCCCCTCCCATGGTGTCTCCTTCCCTTCTGAGGCTGGCTCATGCTCCCTTTGGCTTGCCTGGCTGTGAGATAAATAGAAAGGCTCATTTCAACATTCATCTCTATCGATCCAATGCACAAACACATCCATCCAACACGCAAACACATCCACTCCTTCTGCATCCAAGGCTTCCCTGTCCCGGTTCCTGCGAGCATAGGAATAGGGAGAGTAGGTCTCTAAAACCGAGTCGTCTACAAGTTCATCTGCTCAGGTGAAGGGCGGCCATCAGGTTTTTGGGGAGTGATCATGCGACTGCTCGATCGATCCACGACCTATGACTTCATCTTCTTCCTAGCGTTTGTGGCAACGAAGGGAGTTTGGCACTGCAACCTCTCTGCACTGCATCGAGCGGGACGACTACACCAATAGGCGCTATGTCGACTAGCGCAATCGGCTCTAGGGCCGCTGGGTATGTTCTAATTCATCCCCTATCTTTAGCTTAAAATCATGATTATTAGTATCATCTACATGTCCATATCACTTAGATCACACATGCACATATATGAGTCCACAAATGTGTTCTTAATCTTTTTCTAGATTCAATTAATACTAAAATTGCCTAAATTTCTAACAGGATCTAGGCGAGGATAGGCTCTGATCCAATGGGAGGAGAGCACGAGCTGCTACCAGCGTGTCGAACGATCCACCGAACCCAGCGACGCAGAAGTGCGACGCCACGTGGTGATAGCTTCACCAAGGTTGACACAAGGCGGCGAGGGGAAAAGAAGGGCGATGCGATAGATGAAAGAGTGTCATATGAGTCATCGCTGTCGTGTACTCGCCGAGGCTTCCATCATCGCCGCCGCCACCTCCTCTAGGAGATGGGATTGTGGTTTGTGGATCTAAATCTCGGGTGCATAGGGTGAGCGGGTATTCCTGGTAGGTGTGTAGGGGAGCAAGCCGGCACCTGGGGCCTGGGTATGCGCTGGCGCGTAGGTAAATCACCGGTGAAAAAAGCGGCTCGAAGCATCCACCACGCATAAACACGCGTAAACAATAAAGAGTTTTTCGATTGGGCCTATTTGTCAGATTAGGATGTGAGATTTATATGCGTTGGATCTGATTTTAATATAGATTTAAGGGACAAGACTTTAGGTGGGTATAGATAAATAGATTTATCTTTTGATGATACATCAACTTCATAATCTAATGATTGGAACATGGATTTACTATATAAACAAGGCATTAATTATTGCTTGCCAATAATTTATATTATTATTTTCATTCATATGCACTCAAATCTAAACCCATATGCAAACATACACTTCAATTATTTTGCTACAAGTCATATAGCCACTAGCCAGGGATATCTTGGACAAGTTTCCTCTCTTGACCATTGATGATAAGATAAAATTTGTTCAGACAACATGTTTTCTCAAAACACTTCAGTTCCACTAGATAATCTACTTCACCAAAAAAGTATAAAATGTTTTAAAACTTATTCCAATAGAAAACATAATAAGCAACTAACACAAATTCATATCATGGTTTAAAAAACACAACACATATCATGAATGCATTCACCATTAATGTATGTTGCATTCATGCTTGTCGCATCTCACATTTTTTATCGTGTAAAACTTTTAAAAATATTTATACATTGATTATAATATTTTAGGTACATTATTGATTTTTGGATGCTTTTTTCATGTTCCTAGAGCTAAATATATATTTTTGAAGCATCTAGAGATATTTTCATGATCGAGCTCTAAATATTTTACTTGGATTTGACATATCTCAATCCATCTCTAGAATTATTTATGAAATTTTTAAAATCGTATAGACATTTTCCACGGTTTAAAACCCTTATCAAGTGTTTATTGATTTTTAACTAAAAGAGACAAAAACCACCTTCAAAACAATTCCAAACCAAGACATGAAGGTAATTTAAACGGTTTTGAGGATTCAGGAGGGGTAAGAAATTTGACTTTTAGAGTTAGAGGGTAAGATATTTGATTTTATAGTTATATAAGGGGTAACATTTGATTTTAGAATTCGAGAAAAAATCAGACTACGATAACAGTTGAGGAATGTACAATATACGTTTTCGTTTCTGAATTGTCTCATCAAAGCTATTGACAAGAGCCAGCTGGGCCTGCAGGCCCATCTTCCCAACATTCATGCACCTCTTCGGAAAGGCCCAACGACAACACGAGTCCACATGTCAGAAACCACCGTTGGGCGGTGGTTTGAGCCGCATTTCGAATCGAAACTCAAAACCCTGCCTTTTCCTCATCTTCACTCACCCGCCGAACCCAACGTTCCCCGAATCCGATCGATTGCAACATTCCCCCGCCGTCTAGGGTTTCGGTCCGAGGCTCCGAGCCCTCCCTCCCAATGGCCAAGGTCAAGCGGTCGACTCCCGTGACCGCGCCCGCGCCCTTGGACCCGGGGGCTACAGCCGCCAAGGCCAAGAAGTCGGCGTCCGCGGGGGCGGCGATTACGGCCGGGAAGAGCCCCGCGGCGGCGTCGCCGCTGATTGTGATCGAAATCCCCTCGTCGCCTGACTGCTCCACGGGCGGCAGCCACTCGACGAAGAAGGCGCGGAAGAGGCCCGCGCCGCCGACGCTCGACCTCGACGACGAGATCGAGATGTGGACCCCAAGGCAGAAGCAGCGCCTCGACGAGGACTGCCAGATCCTCGCCGGAGACCCCCTCTCCTCCACCACCGAGGTGGCCCCCTCCCCCGCCGCCGCCAATGACGAAATCGCGGTTGTTGCAGAACGAGGAAAGGTACGCTTGCGTTTGCGACAAGACTCAGGATGGGCTTTGCTCTTTTCGGCTCCTGTGAGGGCGCGGATGAAATGCCTAACCGTCAGTCTGAAATGTGCGATCTTTCTGATGTGGTGTTCAATGGGCGAGCCGTCAATCTTTAATTTCGATCTTTCTAATGTGGTATTGCAGATTGCGTGCAGAGATTTCCCACATCCGAGGTCTGCTTGTGCAAAGCACCCATTTAGTAGAACCCCTCATGAACGCTATTGTGACAAGGTAACGTTGCGCCAAGCCTCGCACTCCTTGCTCGTGCTATTTTACATGGAGTTAGTACTGCATTGTTCTCAAACTTAACAGTAGCTGTGGCTAACTGAATAAGCTTACTGTGTGCATTATTCATTAAGTCAGGGGAGAATAGAAATGAAACTTTTTGTAAATATTATATTATAAACGATTGCTCTGTATATTGTGACTTGAAAATTTGTTGCTAAAGTTGCAAAGGATAACACCCATTTGTTGGTCATCATGTCGATAACAGTTGGTTGCAAGGACTGTCTATTGAGCGCCGAGCAGCATGTTTAAAAGCCTTAAAATATTGTGTTGCCTTATCTCAATTCAGTCTAATTTGCTTTGTTTAGCTGTTGGGATTTCGAATTGATGTCCTGTTTGACACTTTCAACTTAAATGCTGTCATGGTAAATTACAACACCATTTAAACCTATCACATGGTAAAAAAAATATTTGCTTGCTACTAGAAACCTCCACAATTTTCCCTAAAGTTTATCAGATGGCCACCAAATAGTTTTTACCTTGTGTGGCAGTGTTTCTACTTTATATGCAACACCGGTGTCCCATGTGTGCCTTGGTAGGCCTCTTGGGCACTGCTGTGCTTCGAAATGTGGAATAACGATGAGGTCATGAAGGGTCTCATTATTATTACAGCAGTATGATCAAACTCATCAGAAACTTCTGACAGCATAGCAACTGTGCATGATTGAATTGTTCATTTTAAATTTGAGTATAAAAACAAAGCCATTTGCAAATCCTTGCTTGTCACATGGTAAATGGATCATGTTAACAGTAGCAAGCACCGTGTTCTGACATTTCAGCCCAGTTCTTTCCTAGATGAATTAATGAGATTCATTTAAGCTGAAGGAATGAAATGGAAGCTTTTGTAAATATCATATCATAACCAGCTATTCGGTAATATGGCGATCAGTAAATTACTTTCCTAAGTTGCTATGTGTAGCACTGTAGCTCATACCTGTTGGTTGCCATGCCAATATTGTCTTCTAGAACTTTGATTCTTGGAGTGGTATGCTTGAATGGGCTCGATTACCATGTTGCCTTAGCTCAGTATGATCTTGTTTATTTTGGTTAGCAATATGGATGAAAATATAGGTGAATTAGTGTTTTGTTAACACTTCAACTTGATGCACTATTGTGGCAAAGAAAATTGGCCGTGTTTCCATGTCTTTAAAAGAAAAAAAGGAAAGAAAATAATATACTACTTCCAGAACTCAAAAGCACAATAAGTTTGTTGACTACTATTTGAATCTGTACAATGTTAGAGTTGCATTGCTGATATCACCTATCAGATTTGGCTGCTGAACTGTGTTCATCTTGTTTGCAGTGTTTCTGCTATGTCTGTGACATTGCTGCCCCATGTGTGTCCTGGAAGGGGCATGGAGGGCACTGCCACGCTTCGGACAGGGACAAAAAGTGGAAGTCTATGAGGTTCTTGATGCAAAAGTCAAAGAAAGCAAAGCCTAGTTGATTTTGTCCCCGATGCTAGATCGGGCAAACTGCATTTTGCAGTCTCAGCTTGTTCTGATGGGAAGGTTATTTTGGAGTAACTCGTAAATATGGTTAGTGCTGGTGATAGATCTCATCCCAAGATTTGGTGCATGCATCTGTGTATTGCCTATCACAAACTGAATGATGCTCCTATATAATATAACCTTCCATGGAGTACTAGTATCAGTCTTTTACTCTTGTGTTCCACTTAATTCCAGCACATGTATGCGTCTCGTGGTCTCTGAAATCTTAGGGTGTGTTTGGTTGCCTGGCTTAGGGCCTAGCCAGGCTTCCATAATGCACAATCTGTTTGGATGCTTGGGTAGGCCCTAAGCCAGGCTTGTGGAAGCCAAAAAGGGTGGCCAAGGCTGCATTGCTGGAGACTTTAACATCTCTGGTGTTACGAGCTCGTTTAGCACCGCGATTTAGGCATAAGAGAAATTTCCTAAACAAGTTTCTCGGATTTTAAAATTTAAATATTGAGTTTATGTTTAAAATGTCATTTTTAGCAAACGATATTGAGCGGAGTAATTAAATACCGCTTAAATATTTTGGCTCTATGGGTTAGTGCGAAGTATCAACTTTTACGTGAAATAATTGTTGGTGGAAGTTAATCGGATTAAACTATAAACAAAAATAAAATATAGTTTGTATTTAGTACTTCAATAAATCGGACCCCAAGTTTAATTGAGAAAAATGCAACTTTTGTTTTGGTAAGTAAAAGTTATTTATAGTATATATATATATATATATATATATATATACACACACACACACACACAAAGGGTTTGTTTTGATAAGCACGAACGGATGAGCGCGAGCAGCAGCTTCGTTTAGTTTTTCTGGCGTACAGCGTACTCGTTGATTGGCATTTATTACCGTCACGTCCCTGCACCATGGCGTGTCCGTTTACCTGGACCTGTCGAGTCCACGTCCCGCTAAACGTCACCGTTCGACTGCCCGTTCCATCGCTTCACTCTGCGGCACCATCAAGTCCTCTGTTCGCCTTTGATTGCCTTGCCTGCCTGCTTTTGTCAACGCCTCTGTTTGGACGCCCAGGTGGCCAAGCCGTGCCAGGCCTATTCCCTCCTCCCAGCGTGCGTTCACCATCACCATCGTCGTCGGTCTTGTGTCTGTCATTGTCTTGCCTAACTCTGCTACTGCTGTCTAACTCTGCTCCTTTGCTCCCCTTTCTCTTTCTATCAGGCCAGCAGCTCGGAGTCCTTACAAGCAAAGCAACGCACGCACGTAACGACGCTGTAACCTTGTCGCGTGCCCCGGTCCGCTTCGGACCGTAGCCGTAGTCACTGTGCCCCTCCCGCGCCATCTGCACCGGAGTCGTCGGTGTCCCGCGCCCCTCCTTCCTTCCCCGCGAGCACACACTGCTCGTCCCGTTGCCGTGCGCCCGTAGCCGCCCTAGCCTTGAGCACCACCGCGGTCCCGTGCTGGACTGGGCTGCAGCGCTGTCGTGGCCACACAGCGTCGCCGCCGCCCAAATCCCCTCGCGTGCCCGCGTGCGTGACTCCGCGGTCCCGCTGCGCCGGTCTGCCATCATCTGCGCCGGCCCGCCTGCTGCCCAGGGCCGGTGGTGCACCCCATCATCACCGTGGCCTGCACCTGCGGCCGTGACGGCCACCGCACCATGCCGCCCCTCGATCCGCTCGGCACCCCGCAGCGCCGCTCCATTCCCATGTCCCGCGCGCCTGGTTCGTTGGTGCCTGGAAGTCCGGCCTCGCCAGCACCGCGCCCCACAACGCCCTCACTGGCGGGTTCCACCGCCGCCGTGCTGAGCTCCTCTGCCGCGGCGCCTCCTCTGCTTCGTTCCGTGCCCCGCACCCCCACCTCGCCGTGGCCCACGCTCCGCTCGGGAACGCCGTCGCGCCCAGCCGCGACCGTAGAGCCCCGTCGTAGTTCGCTGCCGCCAGACGCCTCCTCGGCTGACCGCCAGTGCTCGTGGCTGGACCGCCTCGGTCCGCGCTGGGGGTAGGCGAGCTGGTCGTAGCTGCGTACCTCTCCGTGCGGGCGCCCGTGCCGCTCGCCGGCGGGCCTCCTGCTGTCGCTGTGACCTTCCTGGCCGGGATTGGTCGCCGGCCGGAGCTCCTGGCTCTACTGTGCTCTGTTTTGTGGAGGAGCCAAGGTGAGAAGTCCAAGACGAATGTTATACGAGGTTTTATTTGCGAAATACATGACTTAAAGGAATAGTGTTGTGGTCCGGTGGTCGGATTAGGCAGAAGTCCAAGGGCTTATTCGCATAATAGTGCCGCCCCCGCTGGGGCTCATCCGCTGGGCCTGCCTGTTTCCGCACGTGGGTTGGCCGCTCAGCCACCTGGGCCGCCGGTTGCGCTCGCCTGCTGGGCCGACCGGTCATCGCCCCGCCTGGGCCGCCGCGCTGCTTAGGCCATGCTCGCCACCTGGGCCGCCCTGCGCCTGGGCCGTCCCTTCGGTTGCTGGACTGCCGATCATGCGCCCCACCTGGGCCGGCTGGTGCCGCGCGCCACCACTTGGGCGGACTGGAGCCGGCTGGGCTACCTAGTTGTTGGGCCACCGCACGCCGGCGGGCCGAGTTGGCCGCCCAGGTCTTGTCTTGAACGTTGTTTTGGTTTTATTAATTCAGCGCCTTTCAGAAATTGAAAATAAAGTGTAGAAAAATCATCAAAATGACAAACCAGTTTTGTTAGTCTCCTAAAATCATAATCTACCTAGTAGTGTATTTTGTTCACGTAGACTCAAAATGTTTTTAGGGTTGCTCTAATTATTTTAAAAATGCTTAATATTGTTAAAAGGAGAACTTGTATGAATTTCCGTGGTGAATTGGTAAGAATATTGGATCTGAAATCTTTACAGTAGGTTCCTAGCAATATTAGCTGCTCACCATAATTTTTATAGCTCTAGAATAATTAGTTGCTAGATAAATAATAATATCCTATTGCGAATAAAGAAACACCGTTGGTTAATATAACTAAAATAGTTGTTGGGAAATAACGCCTTATCCGACAACGGGTAGATGTAGCCTAGGTACTGTCGTCGTTAGAACTAGCCCGTTAACTTAAGAGGCGTAAATCATATTTTACGAGTCACGATTACAGTCGATTAATTATGTCTTTGCATTGCATCGCATTGCATATCATATAGGTACGATGATGGATCAACGGATCCATCGAAGGATGATTGGAAATCCGAAGATGGTGTAATGGTATTCTCTCCAGGAGATGGAACAATGGGTTTTCTATCCAGATGACTGTGGATGATCTGAAGATGCAGATACTAACTTTTTAATATATCTAACCTAGGCAAGCCCCGGTGTATGACCCCTACTCTTCTGTAGTTTAAATTATTTTTGTGCATTAAATTTTAAGGAGTTGAATGAAACCCACTTGCATATATATCCTTATCCTATAAGTCTTACTAGTATGATAGGATCATGTAGATTGCTATGTTATAGGACTCCGGTAGAAGTCGAGTGATTGTCTGTCACTCGCGAGAGATAGGGAATATATTACTGTATTATTATCACTTGGAAAATATAAATGGTGGAAAGGTAAACTGGTGACCGGGCAGGGATATGGTTTGGGTATTGGTGGATGTAAGATGTTGTGTTGCCGTGGACGCAGGGTATGGCTTGGTTACACTGTTTTCCCTGTCTGTATCAATTAAGGACCGGTCGTTGCATAAGACTCTAGGCAGGTCACAGACATATTATCCCGAGCACATACTTGTGTATAGGCGCTTGGAAGACTCGTTGCTCTCTTATCGCGGATCCGGCTCTTTCTGGACCGACCGTCAGGGTTTTATTTTGGTGGAGGAGGTCCTTGCACCGCACTGAGTCCGGGACTCAGGGGCGGGGGCTTGGAGTTCCAGTTTGGATAGGGACCTGGACACCTGGGACAGGAGAGTGATGGGTTAGTCCTGCTTGTGCCTGGGGTACAAGCGGGGCGTGTGTTTTCGGGGTACCCTGCTGGGGGCATTAATTCGCGAATCACCGGGAGATCCGGTACGGCTTGTCTGCGGTTTAGCATCGTGGTAAGAACTGAAAGATGAAAGATGGAGAATGGAAAAAAGAAATCATATTGCTTACCACCTGCTTGAAAGTAGCACAGGTGCTTACATAGAATGGTTAGTTAATGAACCAATGCGGCTATTAATAAAAATTGAATATAAGGACGCATGCTTAGTACTGCTTCCTACAAATACAATAAACCCACAAGCCAGATAGCCTTGCATATCCTTGGAGTCTTTTCCTTCCTCCTGTCGAGTAAGTCTTGCTGAGTACAATTGAGTACTCAGGGTTTTATTCCCCCTGTTGCAGGTGACAGGTGGATGTTAGAGCTGACCCTTGTGTGTGGATACCTCCTGATAGGCTCAGCAAGGATTCCTTTACGCTACGATCGTAGTTGATACTTATAACTTTCACCAAATGCTTTTATAAATGAAAGTTTTATAATCTGTTGTCATAGTTTAGTTATCAATGCTTTATCATGCCATAAATATCAATTTATTTCCGCTGTAATTCTGATCACATGTTTATATTCCGCTGTTACAATAAAGTATTCATAACTCTGATAATATGATTTCATTCTGCTGTTATAATAATAAATGTTATACTCTGATGTACATGTAAAGTGATGTAAGAAATGGTTAAGAATGGTGTAAGCTTTATTCTCTCATTTGTGATCCTGATGGCAAAAATGTGGATTTTCGGGTTCTCCCCTGGGGTGTGCTCGATGGAATCGAGTAATTTAGTGTTCTCCCTCGAGTGCTTAGTGTCTAATGGAAGACGAGCACTCCTGTGAGGCATTAGATTAGGCAGTTCTGCCACAGGTGGTATCAGAGCGCAAATGAGGAAATAAGGCTTCGAAAACCTTTTCTAAACTAAAATTTGACAACAAACTCTTTTCAAAAAGTTAGGGTGTCCTTATGCGAAGTTATATAAGTAGCCCTATTACTATGGTTATGTATACAGGATAGATGGCACTCTGCTGA